CTTGGAGCAGAGCCTCTGTGTGACTGCAGTTTTGCTTCTGCTTCTGCCGAATGCTTCCTCCAGAACCAGCAGTAAAACCACAGGACCCTGTGAGCCGTGGCCCTCAGAAAGGCTTAATGAGAGCGACCACAACGGCCAGAGCCTATAACAGCCAGCAGCACAGCAGGACCCGCGCCTCTGGCACAGGCGCAGCCTGGGCAGGTCACCTCTGAGGCCTGTGGAAGTATCTCCAAATATCACAGGGTTTGAGACCATCACAGGGAGTGAGCTCACACAGAGCCGTTTTTCTCTTAAGCAAAAATGAATAGGACAAAAATAGCAACCCGGGGGTGTCTCTGGCCTCTTCCTGTAGAAGAAAAAATCTAGAATTTTCGAAGCAATGAAAACCCACACTGGATGCTCATGTGGCTACGTGGTTCATTTAACCTCATCTCAGAAACTCCTGGCTTAGCCGCGTTTCTAGCCAGTGGATCTTCATACTCACGGGTGCGGGCGTCTCTCTCACGTGAGGAAAGGGTTAAACAGTGTGCAGCCTGTGTCACTCACTGACACGGACAAACTAGGGGCGTTCTGCGACGACTGGACTTGATGCTGAGCAGGCCTCGTGTGCCTGACGAGACAGGTTGATTTCCTTTCACGTCAGCCCACCGAAACAGCGTCGCGCCCTGCACATCCCAGAGCGATTGTGTCCCAAGGGCCTGCTGCTGGGTGGAGTTGCGCACAGAGTGGATTACCGGTCCCTGGTCTCATCACGGTGTGCTGTGATCAACACCGAGACATGATTGTTGTTCCTGGGAATGTGGCATTGTGAGAACTCAGTCCAGAGCTGGCTAATTCCATGGAATCATTCAATTTCTCATTATTTCTATGTGACAGTGATTTTTTTTTAACAGTTAACGAGTAATGACAATCTAATGAGACCTTTCAAAAATGATGGTAAGGAAAAAACCTTAACCTCGTCACCCGTTCCTGTGACTAGATAGAAACAGAGAGTTCCGTAGGCCGGCTTTCCCATTTCAGATACAGTCAGGCTGGTGTCTGTTAGTGGTCACGTTTAACTGGATGCAAAGGCATGAGGAACTCCCGGCAAGGAGCCAACACATGTAGGCTGATTCCATTTTTCCACAACCAAAGAAGAAAGAGAATTTGTTAGAAACACTCTGAGACACAGGCCAGGCATACCAGGTGCCAGTCGAAGCTCACAACTGCCAATCAGGTGCAGGGTGAGGGATGCGCATTATGGCGCATGAGTATAAGCCACCTCTGTGACTCGGACATCCATCTGGGAGCTGATCAGAACGCCGACTGCAGTCTCTCCTCTCTCCCCTCTCCCCCCCTCCTCCCCCCCTCCTCTCCCCCTCTCCTCCTCCCCCCCTCCCCCTCTCCCCTTCTCCCCCTCTCCCCTTCTCCTCCTCTCCCCCTCCGCCTCTTTCCCCTCCCTCTCCCCACCCCGTAACTCTGCGTTTCAAGTGAATAAGTACATATTTGTAAAAAGTAAAGAATATGTGAGTTGCTAAATTTAGAGCTAGTGAATGTACTTCATTAACCTCTTCTACTTCTCACTGATAGACAGTGAGCATTATTTGGGAAATGCTGTACTTAGGGGAGTCACAGATTGTGGTTATTTCAGATGGAATTATCTCCCTGCAAAGATGTTGTGAGACCTACGCTGCTGTAGTTAACTTGCCTTGTGGGTCAGTGTGTCTGAATTTTCTATCAGAGAAAAATAAAACAGTTTGCCCTGACCACCCGGAGTGCCACAGGCAGGGTCCTCACCGCTCTATCCCAGGCCGCGCGGCCCAGGGACTTCACATCCCCATAGCCCATCTGCTGCCACCGTGTGTGCTGCCTGTTTGCGCAGAGTCGCACCTGCCCGTCCCCAGCGCTGCAGGTGCCGCGTGCTCACTCAGCAGCAGCAGCGGCTGTGCATCGCTTCCCAGCCCGGCTCTCTTCCTCCTCCTCTTCCTCCTTGCGCCAGGCCTGCCCTGCAGCCCCAGCACGCTCTGGCTCTACCAGGACCTTAGTCTCACTCCTCCCCCGTCTGCCAGTGGAGGGCCCTCCCCGTCACAACCACGCCTGTTCTCCCTGGGCACTGGGGCCGCGCAGCCTCATGCCCTGCCCACCTGCTCCTCGGCTCTCACCACTTCTTCCCCAAGCTCTGCAGCTTCAGTCTCTGTCTGTGGACTGATGGACGCCGTACACTCAGCCCACAGCCCGTGAGGTGCTTCCTGGATAACACAAGAGGTCCCCAACAGGATTCCTGAGTTCTCCTGAATGATGCTAATAATTTACTCCGGTTAGACCACAGGACTGTTAAATAACATCACCCCCACACATACCCCTCCCCCGATACCACCCCCCCATACACACACACACACACCTCGCACATACACTCCCCTGCATACACGCACACAACTCACCCATACACTCCCCTACACACCTGTACCCATAAAGCCACACACACACATACACACACACACAGATACACACATAAACCCCATACACCCCCCACATACATACACACCCGCAAACATACACACCTCATATACCCCCTACATACATACACACACACACCTTACACATACACTCTCCACACACATACACACACCTGTCACATATAAACCCCCCACATACATACACACATACCCCTCATGCATCCCCCTACATATACACATATACCTCATACATACACTTTCCCCACACATGTACACACCCCTCACATACACACACCCTCACACATACACACATTACACACCCATCACAAACATACACCTCACACATACACTCCCCCTATACATACACATTACATACCCCTCACACACACACATACCCACATACATACACATAACTCCCCCACATATACACACACATACACCCCCACATGCAAATGCGCACACATACACACATACCTCAAACATACACCCCACCACATATACATCCCCACACACCCTCACCTATACCCTCTGCACATGTACACACATACACACATCCCACACACATACACACATACACATACATACATACCTCATACATACACCCCACCACATATACATCCCCACACACCCTCACCTATACCCTCTGCACAGGTACACACATACACATATCCCACACACATACACACATACACATACATACATACCTCATACATACACCCCACCACATATACACCCCTCATGTCCCCCCCACAGACACACACATACCCTTACCTGTGCACCCCACACACATACACACCTCACACATATACCCACACACACCCATACCCACACCCCCCCACACACCCCCACACACACACCCTACCCCCCACCTAAAATCTATAACATTTTGAAAGATGCACGAGTGTAGGGAGAGGTTCGTTGATCTCCTCTTCCGCATCTCACATCCACTCCTCTAAGATAACCAATGAAAATATTTGAAGACTCCATCTGTAATTTTCTGTTCCAACCTAACAAGAAGCTGCTATTCAGATTTTGGCCGTTTTCCCCCTAATGGAATAATGTAGAATTTTTACTGATGTTTTCTCAGCAGGATGACATTAGGAACTGGGCAGGTCAGTTCATTTAGATCTAGCGCATCCCCGTCTGATCCTTGGTGGCGCTCGGGGCGTTAGCATCCCCGGTGACCCTTGGTGGCGCTCGGGGCGTTCCCATCCCTGGTGATTCTGGGTGGCGCTCGGGGCGTTTGCATCCCCATCTGTCATTCGGTCGTTGGCTTGGACATGCCATTGCTCAGGTCCACTTTCCCTCGGTGCTTTACACAGTGCACCTGCGCTCTGAAAGCCCGCGTGCCTGCTCTCCGTGGTTGTCAGTGAACCTGGGCCAGGGTGCATCAGCCACACAGCCGCGGCTTCTCCACACGGGGCGCTCTGGTCCTGCCTTTGACTGGGCGCCCTTTACTCCAACCATCAGCTGTGTTCTCTGTTTTCCTCCTGGGATGTCTCCTGTGACGAGGTCACCTGAGATTAATGCCTGCAGTGGGACAGAAGTTTGTGTCTCTCTCACTTCGAGATGTGTGTTCCGGATACGCTGTGGCTCTGCTGCACACACTCCTGCCAGTATCCAGGCTCTTTGGAGACCAACCAATGGCTGCCAAGGTCTCCCTCATCACTGCCTCCTGGGTGTTGCTGGAGGGCTGGGAGGGGGCTGTGCTCGTCTCATCTGTCCCCCAGGTTTGGCTGCCGGATATGGGGGACGTGTCTGCTGGTCAGCAAGGGAGATGGTCAGAGTCTGTGGCCATGCAAGGGACGTGTGGAAGAGTGGGCGGGCACGTGGCAGGCTCCGTCTCGGGACGCTGACCACAGCGCGTAGATGACCTGCTTGTTCTAACCCCTCGTCGAGTTCTCCTGTAAGGGCAGGTGCATGCCTTTCTTGTTCTTTTTGCTCTCGCAAGCATTCCAGACTTGTGGTAGACACCCAGCCCACTGAGTGAATGACTGGCTGAATGAGTGGGAGGGTTTTACAGGTAAAGAAACTAAGAAATGAAGCAGCATCCCCATCCCAGAGGCTGGGCGACCGTTCTCCAGGAACGCGGGGAGATCTGTGCTTCCCGTGGGTGTTCCAGCGAGACAGTAAGCTGTCTCGACTCTGACTGTAGCCTTCTGATGCAGGCCATCACAGTATTCCGCATAAGGTCTTACAGGGGCTTTGTGAAGGGGCGCATCAGGAGAGAGCAGATGTCCTGCCTCATCAGTTCTGTCTCCAGCCCTCCCTCTCACTGCAGACCCCTCCTCGTGCCCACGGGGCAGCCGGCCGTGTGGAAGAGCAGGTGGTGAGCTTTAGTGGGGGCCTCACAGCGTCTTGACTACATTGTCTGTTTCATGGTGCTGAAGGAAGGGTGCAATGCTACACACGGTTTGAGGCAGAGTGATCAGTGTAAACAAATTGTCCCTGAAACCTTGCAGTCAGCCAGGCACGGGCATCTGGGACCCTTGATGCTGCAGTACACGCAGCAGGTTTCTTCTGCAGAGAAACTCACTCTAAACCTGCTTCTCTCTGTTTCCCAAGATATCGAAGACTTTGAAGCCAAGGCCAGAAGCGCCGTGTCCGTGCGAGAAGGCCAGGGCGTGGTGCTCCTGTGCGGCCGGCCGCCCCACGTCGGAGGTAGGCCGGGGTCGGGCAGCACTGTGGGCTTGCTCGGGGGTGGCACGGAGCCCAGGCCTGTGCTCCTTCTAGATCATTGAGGAACACTAAGACTGTCAGGCCCGCTCATTGTCGGGCTCCCTGGAGACGCGCACTCCGGCCTCCGTCTGGCCTCAGGAGTACAGAGGGAGCCGGGTGTGCACAGCACAGGAACCTGTGTTGTGCTGGCTGGCAGGCGGCCTGCTCCGGCCTCTGCCCCAGAGAAGTCGGCACTGCTCCAGGCACCAGCTTCGTGCCAGGGATCCAGGACACCGTGGGTGCTCGTCCCCTCGGGGCTCCACATTTCTCAGGTTGCAGGAGATTGGGTAAACTGGGTCATGATTCCCGACAGTCGGTGAACTGGAGGAGGTATTCACTCTGTGGTTTCCTTTGGTGCCTGCAGAATCGCATGGCACTGCTGTTCACACCGTGATAATAGAGCGGGCACACACAGCGGAGATCAGAGCGGGGCCTGGATCACACTCTGAACCCTCGCAGCAAGAGCAGTGCAGTGCGGTGAGGACCCCCGGGCAGTGCAGCCAGCTTTCACATCCAGCCCTTAGGTCTTTCCCACCACTGCCCGTGACCTAGTGGATGTCCACTCTGCAAGAGGAAAATTTTCAAAACAGATGGGCCAGGTGTTTTCAAATAAAGTGCAGGCAACTTTTTTTTGTAATATTAAGCCAAATTTTATTTTTTAAAAAAGATTTATTTTATTTATTTGAGAGGCAGAGTTACAGAGAGAGGGAGGGAGAGATACATAGAGATCGTCCATCTGCTGGTTCACTTCCCAGATGGCAGCCACAGCCAGGACTGGGGCAGGCTGAAGCCAGCACCTAGGAGCCTCATCTGCATCTCCCATATGGAGGCAGGGGCCCAAGGGCTTGGGACATCTTCTGCTGCTTTCCCAGGAGCATTAGCAGGGAGCTGCACTGGAACTGGAGCAGCTGGGAGTTGAACCAGCGTCCGTATGGGATTCTGGCATTGTAGGCGATAGCTTGAACCATTACGCCACAATGTCAGCCCTCATATAGCATTTTTAAGCCTTTAAAAACCTGAGAATACACATACACATGTGTGTGTGTGTGTATGTGTATTTGAAAAGCAGTGACAGAGAGGGAGAGGGAGAGGGAGAGAGAGAGAGAGATTCTCTCTGCTGGTTCACTCCCCGAATGTCTGCAGCTGTTGAGGCTGGGTCAGGCTGAAGCCAGAAGCAAGGAGCTCCGTCCAGGTCTCCCACTGGGTGACAGGGCCCCAGCAGCTTAAGCAGTCACCTGCTACCTCCCAGGGCGCACAGTAACCGGAGGCTGGGATTCGATGTGAATGTGGGTGTCCCAAGTGCCAACCCCCACAAGATATTTCTTATAATTATTTTCACTTTTATGCAACATTGTAAAATACCAATTCAGAAGAAAAGGAAGCAGATGGAAGCTAGCCCCATGGTACGCGTGGCGGCTCTCCCTGAAATGGGAGGGAGAGGGCAATGCTGTCAGTGCGTCTTCAGGGGCGTGCCCAAGTTGCTCAGGCTTTCAGCTGGCACTCGTCGTCTACCCATAGAGAAGATTATTTTCCAGGACCATCATCAAGGATAAGCTATGCAGAATCATCTGTGCCACCTGTGACTCTTGTGCCCTGACACTGTTCGAGGAGTCTTGACTCGTTCGGCGCTTGCTTTCAACTTTGTTTACTCTGATCGAGGATGGCAGGAACATAACACTTTGGTACCGTGAGTCAGATACACATATCGAAGAGCCTCCCCCACCGCCGCCTCAGCTGTGCACAGCAAGAATGTGTCCTCGGATGCATGCCACGGAGTGAAGTCCCAGACCAGCCACACCTCCATCAGTGGAGACCTTGGAACTGCACCGCTGGTCCCTTGTGTGGGAGGAGTGGTGTCCTCAAGTGATGTCCTAGGAAGCAGCCCCATGGCCCTGGCGTACCTGTCAGTGTTGGTGACACCCGGTGTCTCAAGGAGCATTACCCATGGCCCTGGGGGTACTTGTAGTGTTGGAGACATCCGGTGTCTCAAGGAGCATTACCCATGGTACTGGGAGCACTTGTCAGCATTGGAGACACCTGGTGTTAGAGGAGCATTACCCATGGTACTGGGGGTACTTGTAGTGTTGGAGACACCTGGTGTTAGAAGGAGCATTACTCATGGCCCTGGGGGTACTTGTAGCATTGGAGACATCCGGTGTTAGAAGGAGCATTACCCATGGTACTGGGGGCACTTGTCAGCATTGGAGACACCTGGTGTTAGAAGGAGCATTACCCATGGTACTGGGGGCACTTGTCAGCGTAGGAGACACCTGGTGTTAGAAGGAGCATTACACTCAGTGTCTCAAGGAGCATTACCCATTATCCCAGGGTACCTGTCAGTGTTGGTGACACCCAGTGTTGGAACATTACTCATGGCCCTGAGGGTACCTGTCAGTGTCGATGACACTCAGTGTCTCAAGGAGCATTACCCATTGTCCCAGGGTACCTGTCAGTGTTGGTGACACTCAATGTCACAAGGAGCATTACCCATGGTCCTGGGGGTATTTTTCAGTGTTGATGACAGCCAGTGTTGGAACATTACCCATGGTCCTGGGGGTACTTGTCAGTGTATGGATCATTTGTTTGTCATAAGGTGTGTTACCCATGACTCTGGGTGCATTGCGTGACATTCAGTGTCACCTGAGTGATCTCCTGAGGTCAGGAGTGCTGGAACAACGTTCTTTGTTCTTTATTGCTGTCCTAGATCAGAACTGAGGAGGGTATTGACCGACATTCATGGGTCCAATTAACCACCTAGAGATTGATTAGTCAGAGGAAAACATACCATTAGTAATAGCAGCTATCAATGATTGAATTATCACTGTGGCACTGTGAAAAGCGCTTCCCTTTTGTTTCTTATACTTGTCTACTGAGAAAGTCTGGTTTGAAGAGATGAACTTGGAATTCATCTTACATAAGAACACTTCAAAAGCTGTGTGGTACATGGGGTGAAATGCAGGCGTTCCTGGATCCCTTGTGGAGCGAACGTGCACTCACACGGGGTGGGTCGTCACAGTGGTGGGTCGCAGGTCTCGGGTGAGTCGTGACCCTGCTCTGAGTTCTGTGGGGAACGCGGTGTTTGGGTTTTCGTTAGGTTTGCCGCTGCAGTAGCATAACCAGGACTTAGCACCGGTGTTTAGCCCTGAAGCACTGGACCAGGTTTGCAGTGAAGTGCCCATTCTGGAATATTCCAAAGGGCATCTGTCCACTGACTCTCAGCACTGCACTCCAAATTCTTTATCCTGCTCGTTTGTTTTCTGCCTCGAGAAATTTGCTGCCCACCCTGCCGGGCCCATCCTGTGGCACCAAAAGCAGGTGTCCACGCCCATCACCACGCCCCCCTCCCGGAGGCCGCGTCCCACATGGTGGGTAGAATCGCGGGTGTCCCGTGTGTCCGTGCTGGAGCCGCGGCAGGGCGACAGTCAGGGCTGTCAGTGACCTGGCTGCATCTGCTCAGGGACGGAGTCCGCCGCACGCTCACGCTCGCTGCAGCTTTGCTGTCTGACCCAGCAAGAGCGTCAGGGTGCAGGTGAGTGCTGTCGGCGTGACCCACAGGGGACCACCTGGGGGACCCTCACCCTGAGGGCCCGCGTGGCTGCTCGGCCATCGCAGGAGCCCTGTCACAGGCACTCACGGCTCATGAGCCACGTAGCAGGTGGAGAAAACACTAAAGAATTCAAGGGTTTCAGCCTGAGCTGCGCGTGACTTACACAGCAGTTCTGAAAAGCCAAGTGGGGGGGTCATAAACTTCTGGTTTGGGGGGCATTAGTGTTCTTCCTCCCATTAAACAGTACAGAAATGGAGCAGCAGCAGCCATTGGCGATGGGGACAGAGCGGGACAGCCCCATGTAGCTGGGAGAGGGGAGGGCGGGGAGGGGGGTGTCCAGGAGAGCCTGAGCAGATGGACAGAGGGTGGGCAGTGTGGAAGGCTGTGCAGCCTTGCCTTTGAGTGTGAGGCGCTGAGACCGCCAGGGGGCTTGGGGACAAGCAGGGGAGGCAGGGGGACCACAGACAGGAAGGGGGTCGCTGACAGAGGACCAGGGGCTGGTGCACAGGAGCATGTAGGGGCCTCGGAGAGAGCAACAGTCTGACGTCAGAAAGACCCAGAACCAAGCCAGTGGCAGTGTTTGGGGGAATGAAGCTCACAGATCCAGGACCCACTGTGCATGCTGGGCACGTCAGCAATGCCCAGTTAACCCCACAACGCAGTGTTTCTCATGGGATTGTCCCAGTGTCTGGCTAGAGTCTTCCAGTGGGTTCTAAATAGTCCCCTACCGAAGAAAGACACACCAGGGTAGGGAAGGGCTGGAAAGTGTTAGCAGCTAAGATAAAAATGAATTCACCAAGGGAGAGGTGAAAATCACAGCTTCAGGGCCTGGATTACAGGTTGAAGAATACAAAGGTTTCGCAGGCACCCGTGGCAACCTGTAATTTCCGTTACGCGGAGGGGCTGTGTTCGATTTCAGAAAGCAGAACCTTATTACTCTCGCCAGATGGGAGGGAATGGGGACCCCTGCGCAGACACGTGGCCCGGGAACTTGCTCTTCCTCTGTATTTCACAAAAGCTGACACTGCGGGGAGGCAGCGAGGACAGGGCCCTCGGAACTCCCTTTTCCCTCTTGACGGTGAGGAGCGCCCTGTCGACTGTCCTCAGTCGGAAGCCTCGTGAGCAACTGTTGGGGAAGAAGTGACAGGCTGGGACGTGAGGCAGCAGAGGGCACCAGGGCGGGAGCTGAGAGCAGGGGCAGGGGAGGCCGGAAGGAACGAGGGGTGAGGGTGAGAGGCAGCTGTGCACCTGTGGTCTGGGGTCCAGGGAGGTGAGGCCGGGGTCAGAAGTTTCACAGGGCCTCAGCCGACCCTCTACCTGCCCACTGCGCTGCAAACCCAAGTCTCTGTCTCTGTGTCCAGCCTCCCACTGAGGTCACCCGCACTCTGCCGGCATCAGCTGGCATCTGAGGCTCAGGGTGGTGAGGGTCAAAGCCGTTAGGGGCCCAGCTGCCTCAGGCCCTGCTCCTGCCCCCTGGGTGTGGGCACAGAGAGGTTCCCTAGCGCCCGCTGCACGGGGCACCCTGCTGTGCGTGACAGCAGCTGTACCCTTCTCCGAAATCCTTGTCTCTGGGTCACAATGGCCTTTTCCCGCGTTTCCTGTCGATGTAGCCCCAGGCCTTGGCTGCACTTTGTCGTCTGCCTCCCCAAGTCTCCAGGGAGGGTGTGGAGGCTCGAGGGCACAGGAGCAAATCCCCTTAGAGATTCCCTCACCTGGGGGTGGGAACTGGGGCCGGGCGAAGCCGAGTCCTGAGCCCGTGGGTTCCAGTAGTGACCGGCGACCCTCTCCCTCGCCTGGCCTGCAGCCTGCCCTCGACCTCCTGATTCCTCCGGTGTCTCTGGATGAGTCACAGAAATCCCCGGTTCTGGTGACGGGAACAGGAAGGGGAGAGCGAATGCCCGATCTACAGTGCTTTTCCCAGAACGCTACAACTTGGGTTTTTGTGTACTTGGCCTGATTTTTTATTTCAGAATTTATTTCAGATTATTTTTTAATTCACAAAACTAAAGCTGTGAGTACTGATACGAGGAGTTCCCATCTCGTAGGCCCACCACATTTGGCGTTCGCACACTTCAGGCCCAAGTGGCACTTTTCCTGCGATTGTTCCTCGTCGTGTCCTCGCCTCGTGTCGTCTTCGTTCTTGGGAGAGACAGTAGAGTTTGTGCACTGCATTTCTGTTGCTGGCATCATTTATGGATCGTAGGGAGTGGATCCTTTGTTCCTCCGGGGGTTAACAGCCTTTCTCTTGGGAGACACGCTCTTCCTTCCGTTGTTTTCCTTCCTTTATAGAATCTGCCGCCCTCTGTGTACTGTGCACACTCTGTATTACACATCAGATTATATATTATACACAGTATTCTTTATGTATATCCCTGCCCCCCACTGCCTTGGCAGAAGGGAGAAAGCATGGCGCCACCCCCCCTTCCGCCTCCCTGAGAGTTCTGTTGGATCTGATTGAGGTTCGGAGCGGCTGCTGGTCTGCATCCCGGCCTCACGCTTCTGAGAATTGTTCGTTTTTGAGACAGAAACGGAGACTGACACAGATGTCCCACCCCGGGGCCACTCCCCACATGCCTGAGGCAACTCCGGCTGGAGAGGAGTGAGTGGGGTGCTGTGCCCCCAGCTGGGGAGACTAAGAACAAGCCGGACGGGAGTGTTCTGTCTCCCTGGCGTCTTGCTTCTGTGCAGTGTTAACATAAGTGCAGAGGACAGACACGAGCTGAGGCCTCGGCTGCACACCCTGCTCTCCTGTGAGCTGTGTGTGGATGCCCAGGCAGAGACCTTTCCGCCTAATGACCAGGCCTCAGCGGGGTCCCAGCCCCACTTACTTGGGGTCCCCTTTGAACCAGCTGTGTTCCTGCCCTTTGTAGACCTGGTTCCATGCCCTCTGCTCTCCACAGTCAGCCTCATCTCCTCGACCTCACATGGAACCGCACGTGCAGAGCCATAATGCATGAGAACATTGTCTGGTGCGGAGATTTCTGGACAAAAATCTTTTCAAAAATGACACTGTGATTTCTGTGAGGACCTGGACAGTTGTAACCCCTGGCCGCCGGGGCAGCTCCTGTAGGTCCCACAGCTCACTGCTGGCCACTTCCCCAGGAGAGAAGAAAACGCACCCACGGCCTCAGACGAGACTCGGGCTTCGCCTGGCGTGGAAGACCCAGGCAGACGCCGGGCACGTGTCCAAGGACGTGGTGACGTCATCACAGGACGGAAGCGACTCAGCGAAAAGGAAGAGTGCTGAGGCTCCGAAGGGCAGCTAGAGAAAATCTCAGACAAGCCGTGAGACATCCGTGCCGTCGGGCTCCGTCTTCCTGGCACCAGTGGCTGTGAAGGACTCTCAGGACGGCGTCGGGTGTCTGAGGAGCAGGGGAGGGGCTGGAGGGGCACGGGGCGGAGCCCTGAGTCCTGCTCCTCTCAGTCTGCTCGCGCAGCTCAGCTCAGTACAGCCCTGGGGGCGGCTCTGGCCCGTGGCCATCTGTTGTGTGGGCAGCTGTCTTCACCCAGCTGGTTTCAACGTGGGGTTCCTTTTTCTGCAAAGCCTGTCTTGGTCACAGCACCCTCTGGGCTCCCTGCCTCTGTCCCATTCTACGTCGTGGTGATGCACACCAGTGGCACTGGCAGTGGCAGGCAGGGCCTTGGTGTGGTTTGGGTTTCTGCACACCACGTCCCCCGGTTGCCCCAGAAGAGGCGCTCAAGAGTTCTGGAACGTTCAGTGAGTGAACCCAAGGTCTGTGGTATGATCCTTGAACTTGAACAAGTACCCTCAGTGTGTTGGATCCTTCTGAACGCACAGCAGGAAGCTCAGCTTCAGAACAAGCTGCTTGGGGGTCCGGGTCCACGAGACTTCATGTACGGGGCTTTCAAGGCAGTCCTGAGAGAGGGAACACAGTTACACGTTTGTTTTTGTGTGAGAAGCGTTGAACTGCCTGTATCATGTTTTGTAACCCGCACGTTCCATGAACTTGCTGAAGCGCCCTTTTGTGTCTAACGGCTCTACCTAACGAACTCGCGCACTCACACCCTTGACGTCCCATCCTCACCCCCTTCATCCCCAGAGAAGGCAGCGAGGGTGGGGTGGGGGGTTACCACCCACCCGGGGTGCACAGGAATGCAAGTGAGCGCTGGGGTTGTGCCAGGTAATCTTCATAACCTGGCCACGAGGGTCCTGGTTCTATTCCAGTTATAGAGCAGCAGGACACAGAAATCACAGATGCGGGTGAATGCAGCCAGGAAAGCAGAATGTGTTCTGTTTTCCAGATTTGTCTTACGCATGGGCGTTCAACGACAGCCTCCTGAGTGTGCACGAGGACAGGAGGCGGTTCATATCCCAGCAGACGGGAAACCTGTACATCGCCAAGGTGCAGCCGTCGGATGTCGGCAACTACACCTGCTTCGTCACCAACAGGGAGGCCAGGAGGAGCGTGCGAGGCCCACCCAGCCCCTTAGTGCAGCGAGCCGATGGTAAGAGCTTGCGTTGTCTCGGCCTGTGCGTGTGGCTGTGAAAGCCGGGGGTGCAGAGCTGTCCGCTCCCTCTTGCTGCGGGAGCCACGGCACCCGGGAGTGTAGGCGACGCTCACAGACAAGAGGGCAGCCACACACTGGCAGAGGGGCGGGCAGCAGCCTGCGGTCCACCCACCTGCTCGGGGTGTCCTGGAGCCTCCTCTTTCCTTTGTTCAAGGACATGCTGTGAAGGTGACTTGGGGAGGGGCTGGCTGTGTGTGTGACGTGTGGGTGCCGCCCGGTCTACTTCACCTTCCGGAGCATACGCTGCAACCTGTCCACGGTCTCCTTTCTTCCACACACTGATTCTTACGGTGTCCTTTTACGATTTACCTGGCTGGCACAGTGGGGGAAAGTTCCTGTCGAGGGAAAGCAAAGCAAACCAGCAGCGCCAGGTTCACACTGATTGTATTCCTGTGAAGGAACACACCCAGCCTGGCCTCTGACGGAGCTGGTAGGAGACTGGGACGGCCAGGAGGATCATTTAAACAGTCACAGTGGGCACACCAGGTGCGTTGTGAGATCAGACTTGGGACTTGAACTGCAACACCACATGGGATTTCCTGCTGTCTGAGGGTGTAAGCAGAGCAGGGCCGTAGCACTGACGATGGCTGGAGCTGTGGACCCCACCCCAGAGGGAGTCTGGTGACAGCCCGTCACGGTCACTGTCCCCCCAACACACACACATCACAGGGCTGTGTTCCTCAGTGACCCTCTCCCCTCACTCACCTACTCACCTCTGTTCCAGGCTGCGTAGACTGCCCATTCTTCCATCGTTCATCGTCCCTGCCCGATCTCTCTTTCTGCCCTACTTAATCCCTCCCTCCTCCCATCCCCTCTGCTCCCTTCAGCACATTTATGTCAACACAGGCTGGCAGCGTTGTACAGAAAGTAAACAAAGCCAACCTCTTCTGCAAGTCAGCGTGCAGGAGATGTCAGATGTCAGGGAAATGAAACACCACCCAGGGCAGGGCCTCTGCCGATTCCTGAAGGACGTAGCTCCCTCCACGGCAGTCCCAGGCCTCCTGGAGCACTCCAGGGCCTGGCTCTGTCCCATCTGCGGGGCGCTGGCCCCCAGCACTCTGTTCACTGTAAGCCTGCAGGCAATTGGTCTGGAAACCAGTGGTGACCAAATGCTGCTAAGACCTCCGGCTGTGGTTGGCTGAATTTGGGAGGCTGCCACCCCTCTCTGGGAGGAGGTGTGTGCTGCAGGCAGACCTCTGTCCTATCTACTGCAAATGTTAAAATTGTGAAATAGAAATTTCTGTTGGTGTACAGCCAACAAAATCGGCAGCAAAATCCCAGTGCTCCCCCACGTGCATGGCTGATGGCTGTGAGCCCTCTGCCTGTTTCGCTGTGGAAATACTGACTTCTGGATTAAGTGGGGCTGCCCCAGACGTGCCATGGGTGCCTGGGAAGCTCCCTCACTCCCAGGATGCCCCTCCCCGGGCTCCTGTCATGGGAGCAAGGCCAGGGTCCCCGGGACAAAAGTGTTTTTGGAAATTCAGAAGCATGTGTTCTGTCCTTAATTGGAAAAGTGCGTTCTCGTTACGAGCAAATGGCCAGGTGTGGGGTGATGAAGCGTTTACGTCACAGAAAACCTCTCTTCTCCAGAAATGCTGCTAGCTCTTTTGATATTTAACAGGTGTGATGGGGGAATATGAGCCAAAGATTGAAGTGCGTTTTCCCGACACTGTCCCAGCCGCAAAGGATTCGTCTGTAAAACTGGAATGCTTTGCCCTTGGAAAGTAAGGTGGTTTCTGGTTTTGTTTTTTTGTTTCTGGTTCCTTTAATTTTTTTAAACCTTTTTGTTATTCCAACATCGGTCTAAAGTAAATCACAGTAGATTTCAAATGCTGGCCAGCAGTGCAGCCTTCCGATTGGAATCTCAATAAGCGCGTCTGATGCTTCCAAAATGATCAGCTGCATTTTCCCTTACGTGTGCTGATTTTCCTGTGGTGTGAGCTGCTGAGACCCACGTAGGGAGTGCAGAGGGCGGAGCACGGGGGCCTGGTGAGCCGTGGGCCAGCCAGGAGGCCTCCCACACACCCTTCCCTGCACTCACGCCCATCCTGCACGCGGGCCTGGGCTGTCTCTCCTCTCAATGGTCAGCAGACCCTCAGTGCTCAGCTCCAAGATAAGCCTGGTAACAATCCAGGGTCGCTGGGCCTCAGGGGAACCGGGCCCTGCGGCCTGGCTGTGGGGCGTGGTGTGTGGCTCTGGGAGACGCCTCTCGGGCACGGGGCTGGGTTCTGTGTCTCGTGTGAGTATGGAGGATGTCTCTGTGCCTGTTGGTGATGTTCAGGTTTCATGTTTGTGCCCATGAAGGTCGGGAGGCAGCAGGGGAGAAGAGCAGACAGACTGGAGCCGGCCATGGTGGCGCCGGTGTGCATGCGGGTAACTGGGACGTCGCTGGTTCCGGTGCTGGCTCTGGTTGGGTTTAATTTCTCCATCTCTTGCGTACTCCCAGGCCAGCCTCACCGCTTGTCAGTGCAGTGCGTTCCACGCCGCGGGACGGGACTGTCCACACGACACGCAGTGGCAAGAGCAGCCACTACCCCTGGGCTAGAGGGCCGTCTTTCAGCCCCAGGTGTGGCCCTCACAGCCAGAAACACTGATCTAGTGACTTCTTTTCCAAACCCTGGGAAGCAGCTTAGAGATCTGTGTTTCTCAGCGAGAGAGGCTCAGGCCTTCCAATACCTCTGGGTGCTCAGCCTTTGAGTTCTTTCCTGGGGATGAATTTTGTGTATCTTTGAATCAGATGTCTCAGGTCATTCATTTTGGAAACAGGGTTTTATTTTCATGCAGTGCTGGTCTCATGGTATTTGTCCAGTAGATAATAACTTGCTGATTAAATGATTCTTAAGGAGCTGACAGTTGGGGACTGGCATTGTGGCCTAGCAGATAAAGTGACCATATGCGATGCCCGCATCCCGTATGAACACTGGCTTGTGTCCTGGCTGCTCCACTTGCAATCCAGCTCCCTTCAAGTGGCCTGGGGAAAAATGATAGCCCAAGTGTTTGGGCCTCTGCCACCTACATGGGAGACCCGGATGAAGCTCCTGGCTCTGCGCTTCAGCATGGCCCAGCCCTGGCCATTACAGCCATCTGGGGAGTGAGCCAGTGGGTGGCAGGTCGGTTTCTCCCCCCGCCCCCCAATCTCTGTAATTCTGACTTACAAACAAATAAATCTTTTTTTCTTTTTTAAAGAAAGGAACTTAAAGAAAGGTTTTTAAGTCAGTTTTTATTTGTTTGCTTGCCTCCTAGGACATGGTGCACTTTCACTGTTTATAAGCCTCCCTAGAAATTAAAGTTGACAGAATGTCAGATGTTTGCCAGCAAAATACTTGGAGAATCAGATGAGTCCTTTAAAAAGAAAATTCATTTAAAGCATCGTCTGAAAGGATTTTCCACAGCTAGTCCATCATAGTTGGTGCATTACTCGGGGGTGCTCTGACATAGGCGTGACTCTGAAAGTATTGGGGCCCCCTCCAGCGTCTAATGCAGACAGCGTCATGCATGCAGCATGTGATTCAAGCTGACGACACGCGTGTCTGCTCAGACACCTGCGGGGTACGCTGTGTTCTCTTTCATTAGATGGGAGAACCTGAGGCTCTGCATGGCTCCGTCACCTGTTCAGCTTCCTGCTTCTGTTAAGAGGAGGTAGAAGGATTCGAGTGTAGGCCCACTTGATTTTAAATTCTGAATTTAGGAACTTTGGAGTAAATGGTAAGATAACTGCTTTTGAAATCACCGGAGGCAGATTCAGTTCCTGATTTCTCCGGAGCTGTGTGGTTGCTGGGAAACATGAATTTCCATGTTCACAACCTGCAGGCGTCAGCAGGGCACCTACGCACCTGTGCTGTGAATGCAGAGCCCTGTAGCCCTGGGCTGGGGTTCAGGCCCTGAGTGGGGACTGACTGATTCTGAACCAGACGGGAAGTTCCCTCTGAGTTCCAGGGTGATCAGACTAGGGCAACTCTGATTCTCCCGCGTGTCTGACCTCTGAGTTCCAGGGTGATCAGACCAGGGCAACTCTGATTCTCCCACGTGTCTGACCTCTGAGTTCCAGGGTGATCAGACCAGGGCAACTCTGATTCTCCCCACATGTCTGACCTCTGAGTTCCAGGGTGATCAGACTAGGGCAACTCTGATTCTCCCGCTTGTCTGACCTCTGAGTTCCAGGGTGATCAGACCAGGGCAACTCTGATTCTCCCACGTGTCTGACCTCTGAGTTCCAGGGTGATCAGACTAGGGCAACTCTGATTCTCCCACGTGTCTGACCTCTGAGTTCCAGGGTGATCAGACTAGGGCAACTCTGATTCTCCCCACTGCCCACCCCTCCTCCGTTGCCTGAGTGATGACCACCTTGCGGGGCGGGCGGAGGTGAGTCTGGGTGAAAGGTGAGCAAAGGCGAGAGCAGGTGGCCGCCGTCGTGGCTCTGCTCGGCGTTGGTCTCTGTGACCTCGTGTATTTGCACTTTCTGCAGACCCATGGGAGAGGTGAGTGCTGGCTGCGACACTCTGCCGTATTCATATCCATGCTCTCTCTCTGTCTCCACACACACACACACGCAGATGGATGACAAGTCGTAACTTAGCCAGTACTTTGGGGAATATATTTATTCCCCTCAGAATGTTGTTAAACATCCACACCCCCCGTGCTGCCTGACTTGCTGGGAAATTGCGTAATTGGGAGAGAGAAGGGAGGAAGAAAACAGAGCCAGCAGACTCGGACCCTGCCCTTGAGAGGTGCCCTTTGACTTCCCCGTTTTGACCCACAGTGAGCACAAAGAGTGTTCTGGAAGGATGTGGAGGAGTGGGTTGGCCTCCCAGGGAAGACCAGTGGAGCCCTGGGGTATGTGAGGAACAGGAGTGACTTGGGAAGAAGTGAGAAGGGGGGAGTGGTGAGGACTCCTGGGACAAGGAAAGTGCTGCCCTAACGTGGACGGCAGAGAAGAGTGTGGTCAGAGGACCAAGAGCTCTTTGTGTGTGCGTTTCTTGGTAAGCGTATGGTTTTTCAACGACATGTTAAATAAGAGAAGGTAGAAACAGTCAACACATTAAAAACTGGCATCCAGTTAATTCGCTAAAGGTAAAATTTAAAATCTTAAAAGCCTCTGGTGGTTCCTAAATTTACTGATAAAATTCAAACTAGCAATATATGACCTAGAAAAATTTGAGTTGGGAAAATACTAGCTTAAAAGAACTCTTAGAACATTAAAATCTGATGAATCTGTCCAAAGGCACCCTGGTTGATAAAGCAGGGCTTAGCCTGAAAGCACCTTGCGTAGGAAGCACAGCAGCCGGTCGAGGGAGGTGCTGGCGGAGACTCCTCACGTCTCAGAACATCCGCAGGCGATCCAGAGACTCGGCTGCACAGGCTGCCCCTGAGACCTGGAGACCTGATGCGTGCCGGCAGCGCCTGACTCCGTCACTGGTGGAGCACGGTGGTCCCGGGGGCCCCTGGGCCGGGTGCTCGTACTAAGATGCCCAGCACAAGAGACCTGGGCTTCGTGAGACTGGAGCACAGACGCGGTCCTCACGTCTGCAGGTGGACAAGCTGTGTGAAAACGCTGTGTGTCTTTCGACAAACCTGCAAATGTGCGCTGTCACCCAAGGGTTTTGTGTGTGCTTGTGCAGTTTTCACAAGACACCTCAACTGTGTTTGAAACATTGAAAAATACTGAAAATGTTTCTTAGCCCATGGTACATTTTGACATATACCAAATACAAGTAAGCCAACTTTTTCAAAATTGCAAACGTAAAATGGACAAATATTAAAAACAACACATTTGCTAGAAAATTATGTTATTGGTATAACTGGCAATCCCAAAATAGGAAGATCATACTTCCTGCTTTTCCAGTTCTACATCTGCACTTACAGGCTTCCTGCCAAGTGTTTCTGGAGACTCCGTTTCAGTTGCATGTAGTTATAAATCACGTTCTCGGACATCTCTTTGTGAAGATGTCACTGTGCGATATTTGGCTTTAGTTGTATTTTCCCCCAAATGTGGAGAATCTTTGTCCTGATCCATCAGAGTGAGGTTCTTCACCCCTGAGAGATGTTCCATCAACTCAGACCTCAGCGACATGGATTGCTTTGTGCGGGGAGGAAATCAGCTGTGTTTTCTCTCGTTACATTTCCTGACCAGCTCACGACCAGCCTCAGTGGTGTCTCGGAACAGTCACCAAACAAGGGTTGCATATGTTACTAGATGGCTGGAGGGAGAGGAGAGGGAGGGAGGAAGTCAGGCTGTGAACACCCGGACAGGAGAGGAGAGGAGAGGGAGGGAGGAAGTCAGGGTGTTAACACCTGGAAAGGCAGGGAGAGAAGAGGGAGGGAGGAAGTCAGGCTGTGAACACCTGGACAGGATGGGAGAGGGAGGGAGGAAGTCAGGCTGTGAACACCTGGAAAGGCAGGGAGAGGAGAGGGAGAAAGTCAGGGTGTGAACACCTGGAAAGGCAGGGAGAGGAGAGGGGGAGAGAGGAAGTCAGGCTGTGAACACGCGGACAGGAGGGGAGAGGAGGGGGAAGGAGAAAGGCTGTGAACACCCAGACAGGAGAGGAGAGGGAGGGAGGAAGTCAGGCTGTGAACACCCGGAGAGGAGGGCAGAGGAGAGGAAGGGAGTAAGTCGGGGTGTGAACACCCAGACAGGAGGGGAGAGGAGAGGGAGGGAGGAAGCCAGGGTGTGAACACCTGGACAGGAGGGAAGAGGCAAAGGCAGCTGACCGGGTCCAGAGCTCATTGTTTAAAAGCTTTATTCTAAAAAGCTTTATTAGAATAAAAAAAAGCAGCCTGAAGTTCAGGGGAGTGCGTGTGCCCCACAGATCTGCTCGCGTCACGGGAAATGCCCCTTTTTTCCTGTTCTGGCATTCATTCGCCCTGCTTGCTGTTCTTGGCACTTCCTGGGTCCCTGATTTTCTCTCTCTGTCATTAATTTTGGAAATATTTCAGCCATTGCTCCAAGTAGTTATTGTCTCCTTTTCTCCCACCTCTGGTTTTCCCAGTGCGTGGTTCATCTCGTGCAGATATAATCTGGTTGGTTGTTTGCTTCGTTGTCGTTTTGCTGTTCAGTTGACAGCTCCACTGCTGTCTCCTCTCACCCCACTTGGCTCCCCTCCCCCTGTCCGGCCCCATCGGATTCCTCAGAGGCTCCCCTGGTTTGCCTTGCAGTGAATTTTGTTTCTGCTCTCCTTTGGGTCCTTTCTTAGGGTTTCCTCCTCTGTGCTCTGTCGCATAGGACAGCATGTTAACTGTAACAGTTTTAGTCACCGTGTCTGATAATAGCAGCTTTATATCTGATAATGACTATTTTCATTTGAAAACCCGTCAGAGGTCTTCGCCATATTTGGGTCTGATTTTGATGGCCACTTTGTCTCTTCAGACAGTTTTCCTTAACATGCCTGGAAGGTTTCTGTGAAACTGACGTGGTGCACCAGGCAGAGGTCTTTGGCAGCTGTGGTGTCCGGGTCTAGAATTTCTTGTGGAATTGGCGATTTTGTGTGCTGTGTTGTGAGGCTGAGGACGGCAGTTATCTGAGCTGCGCTTCCCTGCCACCGCACGGAGCCGTTTTGATGAGGAGAAAACCTTGCTAATCCCATCATTTCCAGCAGCCATACGTCTGTGTCCGTGGGCTGTGTTTGCTGCTACTCATGGGTCTCATTTTACCTGCTCATGTGCATATCTGGTAATTTTTATTGCCATCTAGATGTGCAAATTGTCCCGTCATTGAATGCTGGATGATGGCTTCTTATATGAAGATTGTTGAACTTGGCTCTGATTGGAAGTCTGGAGACTGCGCCCCCACCTGACGGTGCTGAGCTTTCTGAGTGGGTTCAGAGCAGCGCTCAGGAGTGCTGCGCTGTGTGCTCACTGAGCGCTCCAGACATTGGCAAACTTCTCTTCCAGGCGTGGCGGAGCTCTGGCGCCTTCCGGCCCTGCGTGAGCTCTGTGCTTCGTGGGAGACTCCCGGGCAGCCCTCTGGGGCGTGCTCCCTTGTGTCACAGCCTGTCCTCAATTCTGTCCTGCAGTTCCCAGCTGCCGTCAGCTCCACGACTCCACGCAGCCATCCGGCACTGCCCTGGTCTCGAAAAGCCTCCAGACGGAAAGCCGCGGCCACCGAGGACTTCATCTGCTCCCCTGCGGCAGGCACCACGGCCTCGCTGCCGGGGTGGTACCTCTGGAGAGGCTTTTGTTCACATGCTGGCCCGCTTTCTGCTCTGTGCAGCACGAGATCAGGCGCAGTCTCGGTGCACCCACAGGGCTCAAAGTCAGGGGTGATTGATTATTATTATTATTTATTTATTTATTTTTTGACAGGCAGAGTGGACAGTAAGAGAGAGAGAGAGAGAAAGGTCTTCCTTTGCTGTTGGTTCACCCTCCAATGGCCGCCATGGCTGGTGCGCTGTGGCCGGTGCACCGCGCTGATCCGATGGCAGGAGCCAGGTGCTTCTCCTGGTCTCCCATGGGGTGCAGGGCCCAAGCACCTGGGCCATCCTCCACTGCACTCCCTGGCCACAGCAGAGAGCTGGCCTGGAAGAGGGGCAACCGGGACAGAATCCGGCGCCCCAACCGGGACTAGAACCCGGGGTGCCGGCGCCGCAAGGCGGAGGATTAGCCTAGTGAGCCACGGCGCCAGCCAGGGATGATTTTTTAATGAAAAATGTGAAGGCAAGTAGAGCGACCGGGGAAGTGCATGGACACACGTAAGCTGCAGATCTGGGATTCAAATTCACATCTCCTGGATTCTGACTTCAAAATTCATGCTCATAATCTGTTGCCACTAACCTTGAATTTTCCTTTTGCTCTATGGGTTAGCCCTTCATATGCAGAGGTACTGGGGCCTTCAGTGTGGAAATAGGATACTAGAAAAGGCTTCAAAGTTCACACAAAATTGAGCAAATGTTTTATCTGGGAAATGGGATGATGGAAGTGTTGACCAATTGTGTTATCTTCAATACTTCAGCAACAAGCAAATTTTAATTCTGTATATTAAATATAACAAAAATTCAAAAGATAAACCTCAAAGCAGTGTTTTAATGAGAAGCCTTGAGTGTGGTAGGATTGCTCAGGGTTCCCGAGGGGCACACAGCCCACTGGGTTATATGTGAGGGTGGCAGTGGACACTGTGTCATACGGCTGAGGGGCAGCTGGGAGACACCGTGTGTGGCAGGGGAGGCGGCTGCGACGTGCAGATGGGGAGTGCAGGGGGGAGCCCTGGGGAGCCTGCCTCAGGTGTTCCATGGCCTAATGTGAACATGAACTCATTCAGGCACACTTGCAGCTGTGTGAGCTTCCTTTGCACAACCCTAGGTATGTGAAGCTTACTTTCTACGCTGGGGTTTCAGAGCTGACACGCTCAG